ACACTCGCTTATTCTTAGAACAATCTTGAGAGGTATTCCTGTTTTAAATGTGAAGAAAAACTGAAGTTCATTGAGGAGAAAGCACTTCCTTGGGGACATACCACTAGTAAGTGGCAAAGTCAGGATTTAAATCCAGTTTGGAAATTCGTTTTTGATCTCTCTGATATATTGTAATTTTACAATATGGGCCTCCAAGTTCTAGTTATTACCCATTATACACTGGAGAGTTAGTTTAGCTTTGGCTTGAATTTAAATAATAATATTTTGAGGGACTAATGTTGTTTCTGTTTAGGCTAGAAAATCTCTGAATACTCAAATCCCTTATATAAAATGGTATCTTTGCGTGTAACCTATGCATATTCTTCTGAATGTTTTAAAGTCATCTTTAGATTACTTGTGATGTCTGTATACTGTAAATGCTGTGTTAATAGTTGTTATACTGGGTCTGAGGTATAACCCATTGGTAGAGCACTTGCCTGGCATTCGTTAAGTCCCTGGGTTCAATCCCCAGCACCACACACACGCAAAAGTAGTTGTTATACTGTATTGCTTAGGGAATAATGACAAAGAAAAATGTCTATACACTTTTTTTTTTAACACTGAATGTTTTTAGTCCATCATTAAATCTGTAGGTGTGGAACCCACATTTAAAGGACTGACTTTAGTAGAATTGGTATTTTTTTTTTTTTTTAGGTATCTTTAAAAGGCAGGACATAGTTTGAGAAATCAACCAAATTATTATTATAAGTCAATATATCTAGTCATTATGAATGGCCCTTGTTACCATAGATCATTTACCTAAATAATCCTTTCCTTTTTATCAATTTTTTATTAGTTTAATTTGGTTTGGCTAGTTACCCTTAATAAGACTCCATTCCTATACTCATATTTTGCTTTCCTCTGTTTTTTCTATTTGTTTGTTTTATTAGTTTTTAGTTGTAGTTGGACATAATACCTTTATTTATTTTTATGTGGTGGTGAGGATTGAATCCAGGGCCTTGCATGTTTTAGGTGAGAACTCTACTGCTGAGCCACAACCCCAGTCCCTTTACTCTATTTTAATAGTTTTTATGACAATGACATATTTAAAAAAAAAAAAAACTTGTTATTTTTAGCTATACATGACAATAGAGTATATTTTGACATATTATACATACCCATGGAGTATAACTTTTTAGGATCCTATTCTTGTGATTGAATATGATGTAGTGTTCAAATAACAATTCAGGTCCAAATAACATAATTCTCAAAATTCTGGCTGTTTTCAGATCATTTAAAAGTTTAAATATTGGTGGTTTTAAAGGAAGGGATCATCTTTCGATTCAGTTTTGAAACTTTCTTATTTCTCAGTATTGTCTGCATAGAATTTCTGTAGTTCTCTTTGAAAATTAGAATAGAGAAAATATACTTAATAATAGACTTTTCAACTAAGTTGTTTTTGTGTGTGGGATTTTTCCTTTTTTTTTCTTTTTGCGGCATTGGAGATTTAACTTGGGTGTGTTACCACTGAGCTACATCACGGCCCTTTTTATGTTTTTGAGACAGGATCTCACCAAGTTTCCCAGGCTAGCCTTGAATTTGAAAATTTATTAAAGAAACAAGTTATTTCATAGGAAGGAAACAGTTTTGTCTTGAAAGGCAATTGTTAGTCAAATGCCTGATGGGCTGAAAATGACAGTCTTGCAAACTTCCTCTCTACTGATGCCTTTTCCCACCCTAACCCTTTGCAGATGCTAAATCCATTTACGCATCAAATACATTGTTTGAGGGGCTGTGTTGGTGGCTCAGTGGTAGAGCCCTTGCCTAGCATGTGTGAGGCACTGGGTTGATTCTCAGCACTGCATATAAATAAATAAATAAATTCCCATCAACAACTAATAAAAATATTTTTAAAAAATACATTGCTTGAATTTGGTGTTCCTAATGAAGAAGAGACAATCCCTGCCCACAAGAAGCTTAAGTTCAGTAAGACAGAAGTTCTAGCAAATTACATAGTATCAAAGGATTAAGGGTGTTGAGAGGTCAAGTTGGATTTGAGTGGGAGTAACCGCACAGCCTTCTGGGACAAAGCAACAGGAGCAAGTGGTAAGAAACCACAGGATTGGAGGAACTAGGTTGCTTGATTGTCAAGTGGCAAGAGATGAGATCTCAAAGACTTAAAGGATATTGGATATTATTCTATAAAACAGAAAAATAAGCTTTAACAGAGCTCTCAAATTTGACCTAAAAGCAAACTTTTTACCTTGCCCTTTGCCATAAATGTGGATATCCAGACATGATTGTTACTTCCAAGAAGCTCAGATGATGAAGAAAACATGACTACTCCTTTTCATGTCAATGAATGCTGTAATGTAACTAACATGTTTTTCCTTGCAAGGAATGGGTTCAGTTTATATTCATATGATGCATCCTTTTCTATTCTGGTAGCATACATAAAGTAGTCTCAGGATTTATTTATGGCTACTTGACAGAAATTGAGTGATATTTTTGTTGCCATATCACAAGTACGAGATAAACTAAAATTATGCCTACAAGTTTGGAACCTAGAGTCCAATTATTAGGGATTAAGATTTCAAACTTCCTCTTCTGGGGTTGAGAGTATAACTCAAGGGTAGAGCTTATGTGGGGCCTGGGTTCAATCCCTAGATTACAAAATAGATAAATCTACCTGCTGTTGGTTTATTTCATGGACTTGTTCAATAAAAAGTTTTGTTTTTAAATCGTCCCTCTTCTGGGTATTTTCCTTTCCTTGTTTCCATTTCCTTTTTTGTTTGTTTTGTAAATAACACAGAAGATGCCTCTCTGCATTGTAATCATAATACTATTTTTCATGGCATTTGTCATTAAAAATAATCATTTTTCCAGAGCACAGTGGGCATTTCCATACTAGCCCCCAAATACTTTTTTAAATAGTTAAATTTTCATTAGGATAAAACCTATTTAATAGGATATTTACCATCTTGACCATTTAATGTACAGTTTAATAGTGGAAAGTATATCCTAACTACTCATTCCCCCTCTTCTAGCCCCTTGCAACCACCATTCTACTTTTTGCCTCTGTGAATATGACTACTGTAGGTCCCTCATATAAGTGGAATTAATAGACTTTTTTTTTTAAACAGGCAAAGATATCATCCTTACATATCATGATAATACTAAATAACCAGTGCTTATACTCACTGTCTTTGGATCTTAAGTGATGTCCTATTCTATACAACCAGGAATATCCTCTTAATACCTTGATTCACTTATATGTGCATCTTTTATCTAAGACACTTTTGGAAGCTGGTCTGTGTGGTTTCTAACATGGAAGCTTGCTAATATTTCTAAAGGAGGAATTTCAAATTTAGATTTAGTAAGAAAGCAAAAATTAAGATTAGTTTGAGGCTGGCACCCGGGGCAGCAGCTCTGGAAGCCAGCCTGGTCTGGTGACCTGCCAAAGGTCCCAGAAACCTCTCTGCTGATCTAAGGGTGCAGCATAAGTGGCCAGAAGTTGTAAGTGACCAAGGGAACTCCTGAAGGAATTGGATGAATATTTTGAGAAGTTTGAATGAAGGAGAGATGGTTGATGCCCAGAAAAGGTGAGTGGTACACTGCATCCAGACAGCTCTGATTTGGAGCTAGGAGCAGGGCAATGAGAAGATTCAAATTGAGTCAGATGGCATAGCTAGTAGAGAACCAGGGCAGACAAGTCATGTTGAACTTTTTTGAAGCACATCAAGAGAGTGTGACACCATTGCAAAGTGGCAAAACTGGCCAGGATAAGTCCAAGAATGAGATTATCACACAGGCAGGAAAACTGAATAACAAGAGGTCCCAGCCACAATGCAACACTAAAAATGGAGAGAATGTATCCAATAATCATAACCATGATAACATCACCTTGGGAACACCTAAGGAAAAGAAAGCGAAGACCTCAAAGAAGAAGAAAATGTTCCAAGGCCAAAGCAGAGATGGAAGCATCCCCTGCAGACCTTCCCATTAACTCAAATGAACCCAAGTACTGTGCAAACAGCTCTCCAATGGAGAAATGATAAGCTACCACAAGGAAGAGTGCCCCATCCAGTGGTTCCACTTCTGAGTATGACTCAGTCACAAACCAAGTCAAGTGATACTGCACCAAGTGTCAGGGAAGATGAGAAAATAATGACAAAGCACTGGAAAAATCCAAAAAAGAAGACTTAAAAAACAGTTTGTGGACATTAAACAGTCTGAAGAGAACACAGTCAACCAGTATGTTTATTACATTGTCACTTTTGTTGAGGTGTGGGAATTGTCAAATGTAAATTTTTTTAAAAAAGATTGTGTCCATCTACAACTAAAAATTTTTTTTTAAAAATGATATACCCTTTAATAAAAAACATCTTTTGACTAAATCAGTAAGCTTTAGTCTTCTCATGTATAACATTTAATTTAGTGTTATTATATTTTTTGTTTTACTCTATTATGTCTAAAAATTGATGTTGCCTTGAAAACAAAGTTTAGCAGTAATTTTGTTTATGAACTATACATGTGTATAGCAGTAAGAATAAAAATTTACAATTTTGCCTTGCAAATATGGTATCTGTATAATGAAGGTATGGTGAGTTAGTTTATTTTGCTGACGTGTGTTTTGGGAAGGTAGTTTTATGGCATTTGAACTGTCACTGAGATGAGCAGTATAAAAAGAATAATTTAAAATATTTTGAATTAAGCTGCATTTTCCTATAACAAAATGTGAAGGGCTGGGGTTGTGGCTCAGAGATAGAGCGCTCGCCTAATGTGCATGAGGCACTGGGTTCGATTCTCAGCACCGCATAAAAATAAAGGTATTATGTCCACCTACAACTAAAAAATAAATATATTTTTAAAAAATATGAAGTGTTTTGGCTAAAATATGGAACTGTTAAATAATTTTCAGAGAGCTATTCTAATTCTGTGTATGAAATAAAAGTGTACGTTCTGATATCTTGGAAAAGTTTTGCATATATATGATGTTAATTATTCTCTTCTTTCTACAGAAACAGGAAGGTTGTTGATTACTCACAGTTTCAGGAATCTGATGATGCAGGTATGTTTTGTGATTTCAACAAATTTTATGTTGGACTGACTAGTGGAAGAGTTGGCAGCTAATATATCATATTTTAGTAATAAATTTTATTTGTTCATTTTGCAGTACTAGGGATTGAACTTAGGCCACTTTACCACTCAGCTACATCCCCCAGCATTTTTATTTTGAGAAAGGGTTTCGTTAAGTTGTTGAGGCTGGCCTCAAACTTGCAGTCTCCCTACTTCAGCCTCCTCTGAGTCAACTTGGATTAAGGCATGTGCCACCGTACCTGGTAGAATAAGTTTTATTTTTTTATTTTTAGTATATTTATCCAAATTATTTGTGTTAACCAAAATAAAAGTTGAATTTGCATGGGAATTAGCTTTCTTGTAAGTCATAGATAATAAACACTTAATTTTTTTTCTCACATGGTTTTGGAGTCCTAAAGTTAAATGTCCTATAATTCCAATATAGTGTTTATTACTTAAAATATCTCCTGCGAGCCAGGCACAGTAGCCTGTTTGTAGTCCCAGCTAATTTAGAGACTAAAGCAGGAGGATCACTTGAGCCCTAGTTTGAGGCCAAACTAGACAACATAGTGAAATGCTGTCTCAAAAAATTTTGGCTATTATCAGAGTAAAACCTGTGTCTTATATTGGAGGGCAGGGTTAAGGTTTTTACATAATAAAGTAACTAAAATGGGATTCCATTTTGTGTAACAACTTTGATTTATTAACTAATTCATCATAGTATTTCCTTCCCTCTTCCTTCCTTCCCACTCTTCCCCTCCCCCCCTTGGGAAAGCTTTGAAAAATGCAGAAAGATACAAAAGAGGGCTAGGGTTGTGGCTCAGAGGCAGAGCACTTGCCTAGCATGTGTGAGGCACTGAGTTCAATTGTCAGCACCACATATGAATAAATGAATAAAATAAAGATCCATCAACAACTAAAAAATAATATTTAAAAAAAAAAAAGATATACAGAGGAGTAAAAACTAAATACCAAATGCTGCCATTTTGCTCCAGGAATTTTGCTCTAAATGTTTGTATTAATAATTTATTCCTTAGAACAGTCCCATTAATATGAGATGTGCTATTACTATTCTCATTTTATAGTTAGGGAAACTGAGGCAGAGAGAATATTCAAGGCCCATTAGCTAGCAAATAGTATTTCAACCTTTTTGTTAATTCCTAGTCTTTTTTTTTTTTTTTTTAACCTTTTAAAAATGGAATTGAAGCTACATCTCCAGCCCTTTAAAATGTATTTTATTTAGAGACAGGGTCTTGCTAACTTGCTTAGGGCCTGGCTAAGTTGATGAGGTTGGCCTTGAATTTGCCATTCTCCTCCTCGGCCTCCTGAGTTGCTGGGATTTTAAGGGTGTACCTCCATCCCCAGCAGGAGTGGACATTAAATTCTTGAAGTGCTGCCTAGTGGATTCTCCTGGGGGATGGTAATATTCTAACCCTGAACTCTGTCCCACATGGAGTGGAAAAGGACTCCTCGCTACCCACATAATTAGTGTTACAGGAGAGAATAATTGCAAGCAAGAACCACATTTTAAAAAGTGGATGAAGAAATGGCCAATACAGCTAGGCACGGATGCACACACCTGTAATCCCAGCAGCTCAGGAGACTGAGGCAGGAGGATTGCGAGTTCAAAGCCAGTCTCAGCAACAGCTAGGCACTGAGCAACTCAGTGAGACACTGTGTCTAAATAAAATAAAAATGGGACTGGGGATATGGCCAGTGGTCAAGTGCCCCCTAAGTTCAATCCCTGGGAGGGGGAAGAGTAGGAATGGAGTTGAGGTCTTGGTCTTTGCCCCTATCTCACTCATACTTAAAAGTATGTTTCAAATTTTATTAAAGGTTATTTGAAAAATTCCTCTAAATGGTATGATAATCCATCATGGAATTTATAATATATCCAGTCACTTAATAATTGCTGAAGCTCCAGACTACTTCCACCTTCTTGCCATTACATGTAAAATGGTGTAGTAAATAGTTTTGGAAATAATCACCTTTTGATGTAGGACAATTTTCTGTAATGTATAAGGCTTTTGAAGTTAGAGCTATTTTTCTGAAGTGCTAGAGTACCCAGAATACATTATATATGTTTAATATTTTAGTTTACAAGTAATTTGCTTTATAACAGTAATTATGTTAGGACTGTAGAATTCTAAGTTTTTTACTTTCTAAAATGCTTTTGACATAACCTGATTATTATAATAATATTCAAATAAATATGAAGATGTTGACGATGGGAAAATCATAAAATGGAATGATATAAAATGACGAGATTTGGCTATAGGTATATAAAATATGTATATATGAGGACTAGAGGGTAATATACAAAAATGGAATTAATGTGATAAAACTAGGTTGGAAAATTTTTTTAAATCAAAGAAAATATTTGGAAAATCCTTTGTTTGCCATTTAAGTAACATGAGATAATTATTGTCAGTAAATATAAGTTGGTGCTTTTAACATGTAAACATAATATAGTTAAATGAATTTGAAAAATGCTCCGTTTAGATGAAGATTATGGAAGAGATTCAGGTCCTCCTGCTAAGAAAATTCGATCATCTCCTCGAGAAGCTAAAAATAAGAGGCGATCTGGAAAGAATTCACAGGAAGATAGGTAAGAGGCATTGTTTTTGTATTCTTGCTGATGCTGTCACTCTGAAATGAGGGCAGTCTTTGATCTTTAAGTTGGTGAAATCTCCTTATATTTTTTGGAGAGTTCTTACTGTCTACTTAGTGTTTTGCATATTTCATTATCTCAGGTCATGCTCTAAGTCTAGAGTTGAGTCATGAGGCTTGATCAGATTCAACCTTAAATCCAAAGTGATCAGCCAGGCTTGATGGCACATAACTATAATCCCAGCAGCTCAGGAGGCTGAGGCAGGAAGACCACAGGTTTGAAGCTAGACTCAGCAACTTAGTGAGAACTTGTGTCAAAATAAAAAGTAGGGCACAGTGGTGCACGCCTATAATTGCAGTGTCTGGGGAGGCTGAGGCAGGAGAAAGGTGAGTCAAGCCAGCCTTAGCAACAGCGAGGTGCTAAGCAATTCAGTGAGATCCTGTCTCTAAATAAAAAAGGGCTGGGGATGAGCCTCAATGGTTAAGGGCCTCTGAGTTCAATCCCTGATACAATATAAATAAATAATTCAAAAGAAAAAACACACAATAAGCTGGCCGTAGTGATGCATGCCTATAATCCCAGCAGTTGGGGAGGCTGAGGCAGGAAGATCACCAGTTCAAAGCCAGCCTCAGCAAAGGCAGGGCCTTAAGCAATTTAGTGAGACTCTGTCTCTAAATAAAATACAAAAAGGGCCAGGGATGTGGCTCAGTGGTTAAGCACCCCTGGGTTCAATCCCTGGCACTCCTGCCCCTCCCCCCCCCCAAAAAAAAAAAAAAAAAACAAGGGAAGGGGAGGGAAGAATAGAAGTTCATTGGATTAGACAAAGGGGAATGAAGGGTAGTAATGGGGGTGCTGGTGGGGGCTGGGGTTGTGGTTCAGCAGTAGAGCACTTCCTAGCATGTGTGAGGCCCTGGGTTCGATCCTCAGCACCACATAAAAATAAATAAATAAAATAAAGGTATTGTGTCCAACTATAACTAAAAAGTAAATATTTGAATTCCCTAAGAATGCCTCTGCTGCTACCTCAAACCTCAACATAAGCATAAAGACTGCTTTAGAGTATACTTCGTTATTAAAATTAGTATTGACATTTTCATTGTAGTGATAGCAAAGATCAAGTGACCTCTCATTCAGTCACAAATCACTGGTCAAATTAACTAAAGCTTATAGAATCTTAAGTAGTAGTAGAGTTTTACTGTCTCATACTCAATTCTCTTTTGTTTAAATAACTTAATCATTGTTGTGGGCTCCATCCTCACCCATGCTGGGGATCAAACACAGTGCCTTGTGCATATTAGGCAAGCACTCTACCACTCCAAGCCTTCTCTTCTCTTAGTTTTACAATGAGTTTAAATTTAACTAATTTTGCCTCATGAAGCCAGAATCTTGTAACTTTTGCTTGTTTTCCAAGGTTTTCACACACAGTCTCATATGCAGTGCAGCATAACTTCAAGACTTCCTTTATGATGATGATAATAATGAGAGTGAGGATAGCTACCACTTTGACTATTAATGTCAGGCTCTATTATATGCTTTATATACATTATCATTTAATTCTCTTAACACCTCTGTTAGGTTAAGTGATGATAACTTAGATGGGTTCAATGATTTAACCAAGGTTACCCAGCAAATGAACAAGCAGGTTTTGAAACCCTGCCTGTTGGACCCAAAATCCATATTTCAGCCATTAGGCTATGCCACCTCCAAGTAACTCTACTACAGATGAGCAGTTCAAAGAAATTACATAGTATTTTTCATTTCTTCTAAGAAACTTGGAGCCCTAAACTTATTGTTAAACCTATACATTTAGCCATATGTGATGGCACACTCCTGTATTCCAACTTCTTGGAAGTCTAAGGCAGGCGGATCGCAAGTTCTAGGCCATCCTGGGCAACTTAGCAAGACCCTCAAAATAAAATTTAAAAAGAGTTGGGGATGGGGATGGGGATGTGGCTATAGTTCAGCTGCAGAGTGCTTGCCTAGCATGCGTGAGGTACTGGGTTCAATCCTTGGCACCACATAAAAATAAAAACAAAAAAATTAAGGCATTCTGTCCATCTACAACTACAAAAAAAAAAAAAAAGTTGGGGATGTAGCTCAGTGGTAAAACATTTGCCTAGCATTCTAAAGGCCATAGGTTCAATCCCTAGGAAGGGTGTGTGTGTGTGTGTGTGTGTGTGTGTGTGTGTGTGTGTTTGTGTGTGTGTGCATGTATGCATATATCTAGGGGTTTTTTGTTTTGTTTTGTTTTTGTTTGTTTGTTTTGTTTTTGCTTTATGGGTTGTTGTTGTTTTTTCCAAATATGTTTTTTAGGAAAAAAATAATATAAAATTATACCATTGGAAGAGAAGTCTTCCAGAGTTCCAAAGGGCCAGGGATGCGATTTAGAACAATTTTTCATTATATTCACTTATATTTCTCCTAGGAATGAACTGCTTATTGCTGTTATAATGCTTCATCAATGTAATTATATCTAGTCTAAAGCTTTTCTTATTGCAACCATTTGATTTTATTATTCTCTCTGAATTTTTATTGCCATTGGATTAGATGCCTTGTGTATTCCCTTAAAGCAATGCTGTGTTGATTTTTCTATTATTCTTCACTTAAAAGTTCAGCTTTCATTTGACTTTGCCATAATGGTGCTCAAAGACTAATAGTGTTTACAATGATATGATTCTTCATCATTGGTTATATTTGTAAATTAAATGCCTGTGTGTGTGTGGGGGGGGGGGGTGTTGGGAGTCAAACCCAGAGCCTTGTAAATACTAAGCAATCACTTTACCAGTAAGCTGTAATTCCAACCTTTAAGTCCCTATTTTACATGAAAAAAGTTGATATAGAATAGTCACAAGTTTCAGAATTATAAAGTATCTCAGAGTCAGATTACTTGGTAAAGAAATATGGTTGTTCTCTTTGGTTCAGTAATTTGTCATTTGACTATGGTCTACATTATGGGGAATACCAAAGTGATTTATAAGACCTGATGTTTAAAAAAGGAAGGTCAAGATGGCAGGTTTTACAGATGAGTGTTTCTTTTTTGTTCATCAAAATTTCTCATGAAGTCATAAAACATTGGCACTCGAGTAAGTGCCAAATGATTTGCTTAAGATTTTACAACAAATTACTGATAAAATTCCCAACTTAAGATTTGAGGACATGAATGTTTATGACTTGAAAAGTTTTTTTGTTTTTTTGTTTTATTTTTTAGTTGTAGATGGACACAATACCTTAATACCTTTATTTTATTTATTTTTTTATGTAGTGCCGGGATTGAACCCAGTACCTCATGCATGCTAGGCAAGTGTTCTATCACTGAGCCACAACCCCAGCCTTAAAAGTTATTTTTATGGGACATTCCTGTAATCCCAGCTACTTGGGAGGCTGAGGCAAGAGGATTGCCAAGTTTGAGGTCAGCATGGGCAGTGAGACCAGGCTAGGGATATAGCTCAGTGGTGGAATGCTTACTTGTCTAGCATATTCTAGGCCTTGGGTTCAATCCTTAGTGTCACCAAAAAATAAATAAATATTTTTTTAAATTTTCCATTTAACTTTGAAGCTCCTCAGTTTCTTTTGCACAGTAGTTGTAAGCTCACTCTTACTTTCTCCATGGTACAAAGCAGGCATTGTTGATGTTTCTTTCTTTCTTCTTTTTTTTTTTTTTTTTAAGTACTGGGTGTTGAACCCAGGAGCACTGTACCACTAAGCTACATTCTCATCCCTTTTTTTGACTTTATTTTGATACAGGATCTCACTAAGTTGCTGAGTCTGGCCTTAAACTTGCAATCATCCTGCCTCAACCTCCTGAGTCATTTGGTTTATGAAATATTTGAAGCAAAAGTTACTAGAAAATAATTATTAGTAAATAACAAAATTGTTTTATTTTCATTTTATATTTAGTATTTTTGTACTTTCTCTATGGAAAATACTTTTTCTTATGAACCAGGCCTGTGCTGAGACACCTTCTTTTTTACTTTGGGTCTTTGGAAGCAATTTGTTTTCCATAATAGATAAAATTAAGCTTATTCACCAACATCACTGTGAAGTGAAGAAATAATAGAAGCAATTTTACTGTTCAGCATTTGTTTGAACATTTTATTTTCATGCTTTTCTCAAGTCAGACATCAGAGATCTGTGGTCATTTAGACTTTGATCTAAGACTTTAAGTGTTTACCCTTTCTCCTTTACCTTATAGTGAGGACTCAGAAGAAAAAGATGTGAAGACCAAGAAGGATGATTCTCACTCTGCAGGTAGTAAACTATTTTCAATGTGATAAGTTCATTAGGCATTTTAACAAGCAATTTTGTACATCAGGCACTATTGCGAAAACTGGACTTACAAAGATGTCTCTAACTTCAAATAATTAATAATGATTCTGTCCTGGTGGCTTATTACAAAACAGGCACTCTGGGTTGTGCCCCAAGATTTCCAGTTAAATGAATATAGGTGGAATGTTGAGGCTTTCTGTGTGTTTTTAAGTAGCTGTAGATTATTCTTATGCACAGTCAATATTGAAAACATTCTACGTGAACAGATAAGACTTCAAACTAAATTTATATATGTGTATAATCTAAGTGAAATAAAGGTATTAAAAAGGAAGTTATCAATTCTAGGTTGAAAAGCAAAAAGGCTTAAATTTCAGTGCCACTTTTTTTAGATTTACATCTATAATTCTAGCACCTCAGGAGGCTAAGGCAGGAGGAAGGCAAGTTCAAGGCTAGTCTCAACAACTTAGCAAGACCCTACCTCAAAATAAAAAAATACAGATCAGGGGGCTGGGATTGTGGCTCAGCGATAGAGATCTTGCCTAGCGTGTGCGAGGCCCTGGGTTCGATCCTCAGCACCACATAAAATAAATAAATAAAATAAAGGTATAAAAAAAAAATACAGATCGGGGAAATAACTCAGTGGCAATGGTAGAGCATCCCTGAGTTCAATCCACAGTATCTGAACAAAAACAAAAAAGAGAGAGAGGAAAAAAAAAAAAGAAAGAAGGAAACTACCTACAAAGAAAACTTTTTGTAAGAATTAATGAGGCATCTCCATGGACTAATGTTCAATCCTGATGACTTATTGCTGGTACTAAATGTTAAGTTTAACTTTTAAAAGAATTGAGGATTTTTTTCCTTATTGCTCCCAGACACTAGTTTTGACCTGTATTCCTGCTTTGTCTTCTTGGGTTTTCCTTTTAACTAGACAGCTATTTAGCTGATATTTAGATGGTAAACAAGGTTCTGCTAAATTCACTCTGTTTTATTTTCCTGCTATATGTATGCTGTTTGGCTGCCTACATTGAAAATAAATCATTTTAACATTTTATACTATCTGGTGATCTTAAGATAATGTAGCATACACTTATTCATTTGCCTTGTGAATCCTAACTTGAATATCTTACCTTTATTAGTTTTTTGAGCATTTCAAGATACATAACTGTGTACTAATATCAAGAATAGGTGAATTTATTTTAGGGTCCACCAACTCGGCTTTCTTCTCTGTTGTCTGTAGATGAGGTTTTTGGCAGTGACCAAGATTTGAACACTGAGCATGGCAAAGCTCACAGGACCCTGAGTATTTCAGAAGAATGACAGCTAACCCTTAGTAGAATAAGAGAGCTTAAAAGGGCTATACTAGAGTCTAATACAGCATAGCTTGTTCTAGAGCCAGGGACCTGGCTGACTGTCCTTAAACCAAATTTATACTCAAACACCCTGGGTATTGAAAAAAAAAAAAAAGTTTTTAATTAAATTGTAATATGTGAAAGTAATTTTTTATAAGCTTGTCCCAGGTATCTTTAGCTAATTGATACAAACATGTTTTTAAAGGGTTCCCTCTAGCCCCTCTAAATTGTAAAGGGTAATGATTTGACATTGGTTTTTGTCTTATATCTTAAGATCACTGGAAAACATTCATCCCCTCTTAAAAATACTTTAAAATATTTTTCTGTCTTTTCTAAAAACATAGGTTTGAATGTAATTGAGAATTTTAGGGCAAAATAGTGATACAAATTTAAAGTATATTATAGGAAATGTGTTCACTCTTTAATTCATCTTTGTTATTTGCTTAAAACTACATGTTTAAGTTATTTTTATAAATGTCCTGGGTATATAGAATTATTCAGGTTCTTTCCTTGTGAACTTTAACTCCTCCTTGTTATATTTTGCAGAAATTTTTAAGGATAGAATTTACCCTTTTAGAATAAAATAAAGCCAGGTGCTATGGCACTCACCTATAATCCCAGTGGCTTAGGAAGCTGAGATAATAGTATTGCAAGTTCAAGGACAGTGTCAGTAATTTAGTGAGGCCCTAAGCAATTTAGTGAAACCCTGTCTCAAAATAATAAGGGCTGGGGATATAGCTTAGTGTTAAATTGCCCCACTAAGTGGTAAATTTTAGTGGTTAAATCCTCAGTACCAAAAAAAAAAAAAAAGGAAGAAATAAAGCCGTCTTTACATACTATATTGGCCACTAGGTTGACTCTTTCAGTCATCTTTGATATGCAAAAATGATTTGATCCTTTCATCATGATAACTTTCATATTGCAGAGGACAGTGAAGATGAAAAAGATGATCATAAAAATGTACGTCAGCAAAGGCAGGCAGCATCTAAAGCAGCTTCTAAACAGAGAGAGATGCTCATGGAAGATGTGGGCAGCGAAGAAGAACAAGAAGAAGAAGATGAGGCACCATTCCAGGAGAGTATGTGAAGTTGGCTAGTGTCCTTTGGTTGTTTGGTTATCGTCTATGACTCTGGTTATTTTGGCATTTTCTAAGATACTAAATGTTTCATACAGCCCTTTAAATTAGGTTGATAATCCCTGTTAAAAGAGATGATGACCCATTAATATTTTAAGTATTCAGATATTCTCATTATTCACTATTTGTAATGGTTGTCCTATTTTCTTAAAGATGTTCAGGTTTGAACACAAAATGAACAAGTATTAAAGTAATGACTACATGTTGTGATTTGAGATGTGTTTTAGCCTGGTACAGAATGTAGGACACCCTCCAAAAAAAAATATTAATAGCAAAGTGTAGATATTGCACAGGTTATTTAGACTAGCGATATGAATTTTTGTTTTACCTGTAATTTTCTTGTTTGATTTATTCAATATCAGGCCCAAAGTACCAGGTCAGTTCAGTTTGATTCCCTGGTTTCAACCAGTCCTACATGGGACTGATAAAACTACCAAAAGTTATTTTACGGTTTCAGTTTTTACTTAGATTGTTTTGTCCCTTCTGTCTCCAAGCAGCTCTTTATCAGCCATGTAATCTTTATGTGAGGTACATGCCAAGCCCATTTACAGATGGGGCCAGTGATGACTCCAACCACATTGTTAGAACAACTACAAATAGAATCCAGTAGTGTTTGACTCCCAAATCCCATCCTCTGATCATTCTTCACAGTCTTTCCCTTTGTTTATTTGGAAGAATGTTTACATTAAGTTAGATGTTGAAATTCTCTTTATTCTCAGAAGATTCAGGCAGTGACGAAGATTTCCTAATGGAAGACGATGATGATAGTGACTACGGCAGTTCAAAAAAGAAAAATAAAAAGATGGTTAAGAAGTCCAAACCTGAGAGAAAAGAAAAGAAAATGCCCAAACCCAGACTAAAGGCTACAGGTAAGTTCTGCAAATGTGAAATTCAATTGCTACTTTCAAAAAATTTTAAGAACCAGTACTTTGTCTTCATCTACTTCCAGGTATAAGTAAAATTTGGTAATGGCTTATTTGTTTCAGATATAGTAGTAGGAATACTGTGTCAGCATACCTTTTAACTGCCCTGTTCTCCAACTGATATATATATCATAGTCCCCACATCCAGTCTGAAGATTTGAAATTGTCGTACAATAGTGCATTCAAGTTCTCATTTCTGGTTTCTGCCTCATTCTCTGTACTATGAGAATAAAATCACTCTTGAAAATATGAATTTATTTTCTCTAAGTCCTGATGTTTTCTGCCAGATATTTTCCTAGTTGGAGCTAGTTTGTTAATTAAATCAGAAATCTAGATTTGCTTTTTGTGTAAGTAGTTTTATTCTGGCAAATAGAATTAGAGTTTTGTTTTGTTTTTGTTTTTTGGTACTAGAGATTGAACACATGAGCACTTAACTACTGAGCCACATCCCCAGCCTTTTTCAATTTTTATTTTGATACAGGATCTCACTGAGTTACTTAGGGCCTTGCTTAGTTGCTGAGGCTGGCCTAAAACATGGAATCCTCCTGTCTCAGCCTCCTGAGTTGCTGGGATTACAGGCGTGAACCACCACACCCCATGTAGAATTAGAGGGTTTTTTAACTTTTCCAAAAAAAAATACTTCTTGCTGTTGGGAATGATGGAACTACCAAAAATTGTTTGATGGCTTCAGTTTCTATGCACATTAAGTCATATTTTTCCCTCTTCTTGTCCTGCTTTTTAAATGTAAAAACAGTTTCCATCTTGAACACTTACAGTTTGATAAGCCACTAAGGATGACATGCATTTTCTGTAACATATTTCTTTATTAAAGGTATTACTGATAACATTAGATAAATGATTAGATAACTGAGGAGCTGGGTGTAGTGGCATGCACCTGTAATCCCAGTTACTCAGGAAGCTGAGGCACAAGGATTATAAATGCTAGGCCAGCCTGGAAACTTATCAAGACCCTGACCCAAATTAAGAAAAAATTTTAAAAGAACTGGGGGGATAGCTTAGTGGTAGAATGCTTGCCCAGCATGTGTGAGGCCCTGAGCACAATCTTCAGTACCACCACCAAAAAAAAGTTTAAACATTACATAGCATATATGTATATTGAAACATCACATTATACCATATAAAAATATGCACTATTTTTATATATCAGTTAAAAATAAATTTAAAAAATATTTGGAACTTACTACAACATATTGTGTAATATATCAGGATTTGTTTAGAAATTGAGATAGGTTGGAGTTGTTTATAGATTTTATTCTTACAGAAAGACATTTTTTCTCTTCCCTAAACATTGTTTGTTTTTCTTCTTTCAGTGACGCCAAGTCCAGTGAAAGGCAAAGGGAAAGTGGGTCGCCCCACAGCTTCAAAGGCCTCAAAGGAAAAGACTCCTTCTCCCAAAGAAGAAGACGAAGAACCAGAGAGCCCTCCTGAAAAGAAGACGTCTGCAAGCCCCCCACCTGAGAAATCTGGGGATGAAGGGTCTGAAGATGAAGCCCAGTCTGGGGAGGATTAAAAGTGATAATGGTTTGGGGAGAGATTTTATTAAAAAAAGAAAAAAGAAAAAAAGAGGGGGAAAAAAAGAGAACCTACTTAAGATAGAACATGGTTTTGGCTATGGCTTGACTCATGGGCTTTCAGTGCTTTTTTCCATTTGTTGAAAATAACATTCTCTCTCTCTTTTTTAAGAAAACCATTGTATGTTGAAGTGTTTAAGTTACCTTTTGTCTATTGGGCTTCTCTATGCCACCACCTCCCTTTCCCAATGAAAGCCATGTCAACTTAATCACTGGATTGACTGCTTCATCTTTTTATTTTTAATGGAAGGTGTACCACAGTTGTAAAGCAATAAGATTTGAGATGAACACTTTGGAAACTTTGCTTTTTGCTAAACAATAGCAAGTTAAACAGTAATCAAAAACATAGAGAGGTTTTAGTTAAAAATGATTGCTTCTTTCTCTGCCTGGACTTTTTTAAAAAATCAGTTGTCATCTAATATGAGTTTATATGTCTATATGCATAAGTATAAATGTCTAAAAAAATCATGACTCTAAACTTCCACTGATGAGGCAGGTAGGATATAAAGATGAATTCTGAATTGTTACTAAAAGTACTCATATTTTTTACCTGGGTGGGGGTTGGGGATTGGGTTTACCTGACCTTATTTGGGGGTGTGGGTTTTCCTTTTTTATCTCATCACTTATTATCTCAAAGAGACTCGGAGCCAGTGATCCTTTTATCCTGCTACAGTCTTTAAGGAACTGAAAAAAAAAAAAAAAAAAAAAACAAGAGCCGCCAAAACTGAAATCACTCTTGATTTCACATTTCATTCTCTAATGGTTCATGTTTTAAAAATATATATGTATCCTGTTTTTTGGATAAAATTTTACCAAGGATCAAAAAAAGAAAATAGACACCCTAGAATTTGAATGGTAAGATGAATCTACACATCACAGGGGGTTTCTTCTCAAACTGACAATGTTTTAGGTTTTAAGCAAATAAAGTTCCAGTTAATGTGAAACTCGGTCACAGAGAATTGAGGTATTTCCTTTATGAAAACAGAGAATTGAAATTCTTTTTATGCTATAAATGTACATTCAGATCCCATGAACCATGCAGTTATTTGTTATAGAACATTTTCCTTTTTATACCCCAATCTTCCCGTTTCTTTGTAGAAATATGGTGTGAAGTACATCTCTGCTTCCTGCTGCTACATAGAACACCATTGCGCCCCCTATCCCCAGGCCTACCAGCTCACTAGGGGACACTTTTCCTAACTATTCACTTACTGACAGGATAGGAAGTATGTTAAATGCTGCTTCCATACTATTGAGTTGGCTTTTCTTGTCTTAGTTAGTCTGACCCCCTGCTTACTGCTCATGTTTCTCAAAGCAAGAGACTGAGACTCAACAAGCCTAGAGAAATCCTGCATTTAGGAGGCCTGTGTGCCATTGGTAAACAGACATTTTACATGCCTTAGGAAAGTAGTTAGGAAATAGATTTGCAAGTTTGATCCTCCATATGCTGATACCATGAACTAAAAGGAGCAAAGGTTAGGGAGGGATCCTGGTATAATAATAAATTGAAAATATGGTGAAATTTAATTTCTGCATTTTTCCTGCTTTTTAATTGAGATTTGCTTCCTCAATATCTTCCTCTTGTTGTTTTCTTTCTGTCTTTTAAGTGACGACAGCATGTATTTCTCAGACAATATAGCTTTCTTGCAGGTGTTCCTAGGACAAGGGTTATTTAAGGAATTATTTTTACTCTTAATTATGAAGACACTTTAAGGAACATTCTTAACTTTGATTTTTTAAAAACACCCAGAGTCATTTCATTGTTGCACTGTGTGTTAAAGAATGAATAAGGAGTTTTTAATACATGGCCAAAAATTGCAGGACTTGAACATAAATAGCAGTTGGATTTTTATCTTACATGATGGTTAAATTTATGGTTGCAAACATTGTAATGAGGGTGTTAAGGATTATTTTCTGTACTTTAGTGATTTTATTCAGATATCCATTTTTAACAAAAAAGGTTTGTGTTTGTAAGTAAAAGACCTATCAGTGTTTCCACCATGCACTTATGTTGTTTGGGGGTTTTAAGTCTTACATTCCTAGAAACATCTGGGCTTTTCAAAGGTTTTGTTTTGTAAGGATTGGGGAGGATTTCTCTTTAAACTTTAGCCTCCCATTTTGTGTGTGTGTGTGTAACTCTCTTTAAGACATTACTCTGCACTAACATCTCTGATCGTGATATATGCACATACTTTAGAGATAATCGTGTATTCTAGTTAACTTGTGTGCATTTGATTGGGCTTCTCTTTTAGGGTCCCTTTTAAAAATAATTAAGTTGAAAAATATGTTTTCTATTTCTAATAGGCTGGACAGAAGGATCTGTGTCCCCAGGTGAGATAGGCTCTGAATTACCTTTGTTTTCTCCTCTTTTGATGATTTAAAACACTCTAGTCTTCCCCTCAAATCATGCATGCAAATGGGAGGACTGTTTTGGTGACTCAACTGGAAACAGGTGCCCAATAGTCAGGCTTGATAATGTTGTCAGGATGCGTTGTAGCTATAAGCCAATAGTGGCCAGCCATTGGCACCTCCCTCGGCTGAACTTCTCTTTTTATCTAGTGTGCCTATGGTGAAGTGGCAATAGCATTCACTGTCTTATTTTGCAGTGCTCAGGAAGTGGGACATTAACTTTGAAGGTGCTTGTTTATGTTATCTGAATTCTCTTAGTTAGCTGTGCTAGGTTTACCTCTGTAACAGATTTCGGCAGCTATGCTGACTGACACTACATTCTAGTTGTTAAGGTTCTTTTTTTCCAGCCTCCCCTCCCCTAACTAGAAATGGGTAGCTTCCCTCTTACTCATTGGTAACTTGCTGCTGCTTTTAGCCCTCGTCACCTCAGATTGGAATCAGAGGAGTGGGCCCAAAGGATAAATATTAATCTCAGTAATGGTAGATTTGTCCTACTTTCTAAAACATTTCTCCCTTTCATATTTCCCCTCCATATTGATTCTATAAAGGAAAATTAATGGGTGATTCCTTCTTTAGGGAGGTAATGAGTGGAAATCTTTTGATCTGGAAGAATAGTAATTGAGTTTTCTTGAAGAAGTTTTGATAGTGGGTTGTGGGTTTTTTTTTTTTTTCGTTTGTTTTGTTTTTGTTTCCCCACAATAACTGGTTTGCCCCAGTTCAGTCCTCAAATTCAATACTTATTCTTTGTAAGTTCAAGCATTGTCTTACAGATAACAAATCAAAAATGGAATTTGGGGTTATATTCTAGTAGTTTTTTGGTAACTTGTGAATATGGTCAGCTAAACTGAACTTGAGTCACTTTTTTTTAATAGTTCTTTTTATGTCTGTGAACATTCAAGTAACAAGTGGATTTTCGAATACTGGTTGGGGAAGGGAATAATGCTTTTCTTTAAACAAACTTCATTGTAAGAGCTGTTTTAAGGGTTAGAAAGGCAAGAGCAGACTTTAATAGTAGGAGTAACTGGGAAAGCTTTATAAAAGACCGTGAGGCCCTTGTTGCTGTTTGGAGTGTCAGTCTTTATTTGGCTGCATCCCCAGTAGCTAAACAGAAAAAACTCACCTAGGGAATTTGGAAAGGAAGAAAACCGGGCTGTGGTCTTTATGGCATTCAAGCTGAAAGACTTAGAACAAGTAGTACATACACATTTCCTGCCAAAGGGTAGGGAAAATAAGCTGGTTGCTCTTGAGGGTAGAAATCTGTTCCTTTCTCTGTGGATGAAGCTGAGTTTACTTGGACAGTTGGTTTTTTGTTTAAATATTGGGACATCAAGCTGTCTAGCTGAGTTTCATTCTCAACTCATTTCCCTTTTTCTTAGACAAACTCAATATGATTCTTTTTAAATATCAAATCTATAAGTTATACTTTTATTCAAAGCCTAATTGATAAAATTCACAGTGGTGCTGACTAATAACCACTATTGGGAAAAATCCCATATACCTGCCCGTTGCCATGCCAATGGAGTGACTGACTGGTGACATCTGTATGAGCATGCCTTGTGTGGCTGGGAGAATGCCACCGGTTGTGCAGACACTTTGTACATCAGGGGTGAGGGAGGGTTTTCTAGATTATGGGGGGGAGGGTAAAATTGGAGTTTTTGTTGTTGTTCCTTTTTATTATTTTTTGATGGGGTGTGGGGGTGTAGTACTCAGCTTATGCCCTAAAATAACGTGTATAAAAACCCCTGAAGTATCGTGTGGGTGTGCGTGTGAGTGTGTGTTTGTGTACGTCTGGCAGTTAAACCTTTGTCTTCTGGAAATTAGTGAATTCTTTTCTTTTTTTCCTCCAGAAGTATTTGTTACAAGATTTGTAAATAAGAGCTCTACTTAGTTTGTTTACCATGAACGTGTTGCAGCAAACCTTACACACCTAATCCTGTAAGACTTCAGGAAAGACAGACTTGCCAGGTTAAGCAGCAGCCAAGTTCTTAGTAATTGTTTGCTTTGATTCATCTTTTAGACTTCATTTTGCCAGCTCTAAAATTCCCAGTCTTCCTTGATTTTAGTCCTTAATCGTTTATGTTCTGAGCAGGAAGGGTAAAAGAAAGGAACCTGCTTAAATGTATTAATTAGTCCATGGGCTGTGACCCTTTCTTCATATTGCAGTGTGGCTAGATACATGATCTGACACCAGAAGGTTGGGCATTCTTGCAATACCTTAACAGTGCTGAAATCTGCAGCATGGTACTAAGGAAGTTAAAGTTTGAATGTAACCACTTTATTTAAAAGTTTTTTTTTCTTTAATTTAAATGAAATGGGGTTGAAGTGAACATGATTTTGTTGACCATGTTCGTGGCTTATAGATGCAACATGCATTGGTAGAATCGTGTGATGGTCTTTTGTGATACTTAATTTTTACATATCCCAGTCTCTGTATGTATCTGCATAGACAAAGAAAAAACAAACTCCGCTTTGCTTTTATTGAAGGGTTTCCAGGACTGCGTGTCTGCTCCTGAGCTTTGTTTTAAGTATGTGTATCCTTTGCTTGTATTTTGTATTAAAAAAAATAAGAAAAAGAACCCCTTATTGTTGAGCATGTTGGCATTGTCCCCTTTATTTTTTTTTTTTTTCCTCTTTTGGGGACATGCGAAGCAAGTTAACTCTTTTTCTGTATCTTTTTTTTTTTCTTTTGTAAACTTTTTTTTGTTTTGTTTAAAAATGGCTTTATAAAAGGGCTTTTATAACCCAGATGTGTGCTCTGTGTACTTCTTGTAATACTTCAAAACAAATACACTGACTTACAGCCGATTACCTTGGCCCATCAGATCTCTGTCCAGCCTGACTTTGGGGAGAAACAGTTCCCTGAATAATTTAGGAACTTTTAACAGTGACCCCCCTGTTGTTGAAAAAGGAAAGCTTATCTTGTCTTAAAAGCACAAAATCAAGAGGCAGTGGGTTCACTAATTTGTAATGAGCTAAGAGAGGGAGGACTGGACTGAGTGCAGAAGGATCCCTAACTAGTGTTTTTCCTCATGTTCTTATCCAAAGACAGGAAGTATTGTGAAGGGCAAAGTTTATCTCAGCGATCTGTATTATAAAAGATAATTTTTATGCTCACAACCATTTCCATTCAATTTCAAATATCATTAGAACTATACTAAATCATCTTTTATGACTTAAATGTTACTTAAATGAAGAACATGGTACAAGCTCCCTTGTTAGAACAGGGCTATGACATAGCTATTGGGGCTTTTATTCTTTTTAGTCTCTCCCCTCATTTATATACTTGCCTTGTCAGCAAATACTGTAACTGACTTATATGTTCCCCTTTGCTTTGAAATTAAATGCTTTTGTGCATGCTGTTATATGTCAGTGACTAGCTAGGTTTATTTTATTTCCTAATAAAGTTGTCCCAAAGTGGGATATCAGAAGAATGTTAGCAATCCATTTTTCCTCAATCTGTGTTTTGTGGTTAATATACCAAATTTTATGTTTCTGTACAGTACTAAAGACATATAATCTGGTTTAAAGAATTTCAAAAACCCCAAGTGGCTAAACACCAAACACATGGAGGTAAAAATACATTTAGAACTACCTTGACTTACTTAGAATTCTGACTGTACAGTAATTAATAATGTACTTGTACAGCCCATTGCAGTCTTATGAAGTTTGTGTTTACATGTTACCTCATTTAATTTTCACAAGGATTATGAAATAGGCAAGATGGGTTTTTCTTCCAATATTACAGAAAACAGACTGGTTCAAGTAGAATGAGTCTTGATGTGGTACCTGATGGGGCTAGTATGTGGTACAAGGGTTTGAATCAGGTTTGTGTCATGTTGTCACAGCTGGTAGTAGCATTTTGCTGTTCTTTGGCATCTCCAAATAACAGTGGTACTTGAACCAATCCAATGAGTCACAACAAAGTTTTAATGAAAGGGCTGGGGATGTGGCTCAGTGATAGTGTTTGCCTAGCAGTTCAGTGCCCTGGATTCCATCCCCCAAAGCGCAAAACAACAACAACAAAAATTAATAAAAGTACAAACTTTCAGTGAGGTATGAAGATTTTTCATTAAGTACTTCAAAATTCCCATGACCCCTCAGGAGACAGTTAGGATTGCAGGTTCAAGGCCAACCTTTCAGGAGACCGTGTCTCAAAAGAAAAAATAGCTGGGTGTGGTAGAGCTCACCTGTCATCTCAGCAAGCCTCAGCAATTTAGCAAGACCCTGTTTAAAAATTTAAAAAGGCTAGAGATATATAGCTCAGTGGTTAAGTACCCCTTGGTTAAATCTCTACTACAAAAAAGTAAAAATTAAAAAAGGATAGGGGCGTAGCTCAGTGGTAGAGGGCCTCTGGATTCAATTCTCAGTGCCATGAAGTGGGGGATATTTTCAAATTATTTAAATTCTTTTTATCTTCTGATTGTTTCAGGATTGTTGTAACTATTGAGGAAAAAGATGTCATCTTGACTACATAATATTGCCTTCTGCCAGTAGAGGGCAGTGTTTGTCCTCCATATCAACTATGACTGCTTTTCTCATCTCACGTTCAGGTACTGCGCTCTGCATCCTCTATATCAGGACACCTTGCCACTACTTGGATTAGAAAGTGTACACACTTATCATCCTAGTACACGCAGCAGCAATCTTTTTTGGATGTTAAATGGGAAATAGGATCTCTTGATTCATGCACACCTGTAATCTCATGGTGTTCCCTTCTTATAACTCCCAAACTTACGTAGTCAGCCTCCCAAAATGATAGTGTGTTAAGGTTTCAAAATGCAGCTGTGATCTCTTGGCCCTATTTTGAAACAGGTGTTGCCTTTTGAAATTGGTCTCCAGCTCATAAACCTTGTTTCTTGCATAAAAAGCACTGATATATGTATTTGCATACAACAAATACTAAGACCGTTTTCCAGGTAATGTGGTAGCTTGTGTTCCTCGGTTTTTTATTTTTATTTATTTATTTTTGTACTGGGGATTGAACCCAGGCACTTAACCACTGAGCAACATCCTCAGCCCTTTTTATTGCTAAATGTCTAAGGTGGCTTTGAAATTGCAATCCTCCTGCCTCAGCCTCCCAAGCTACTGGGATTACAGGTGTGTGCCACTGTGCCCAGCTGTTCCTTGATCTTGATGACATGCCTGTTTTTCCCTCCAGTATCTTAATCAAGTGAACAGCTACCCATTTTGACATGCTTTCACTGGGTCACCACCAGGAGAAATTGGTGTTGCTCATGGGTGTGCCCTGTTTCGATAGTTAAGTCCTGGACAAATATTGTGAAATAAATGTGTATTAATTCAGGGTTCAGGAGCAAGAAAGTGCAGTCAGAGTTTCCATCCTAGTAAAGCAAATAATTACTTTAAAACATGATAAAAAATCTTGGGAATAATTGTTTGCCTTGAATTTACTCTAAGCTAGCATCCGGAAATGATTTGTTTAGAAATCTAACTTTAAAGAACGGGTAGAGCAAGGAAGAGTACACATATATATTAGTGTTATTGGTAATGTTTTAGCTATTAAGTTGAATATAATATATACACAAAAGTCATTTTATTCCAATATGTAAGATTACCTCCTTGTCTGATGGGGATGTAATGTGTCCTCTGTCTCTGTCTTGGGTAGGAACAGGAATAGGTCCTCTCTAAGTAGTCAGAATTCCCCTGACTACAAGAGATAGGGTGGATAAATTGAGTCAGGCTCTGAAGGAGATAGAACAGAATTGATCCAGGGAAAAGGATGGCCTAAATGTTAGGAAAAGATTACCAATTTGGGGGCTGGGATTGTGGCTCAGTGGTAGAGTACTCGTCTCGCATGTGCGAGTCCCTAGGTTCAATCCTCAGCACCACATAAAAATAAATAAGTGAAATAAAGATATTATGTCCAACTACAACTAAAAAATATTTTTTTTTAAGACTACCAATTCAGTAACCATAGCTGATTGGATATATGTGGCAAAAAGTGATTCTTATCCATTTAATGAACTGTGGTATAATTAACCAAAAATAGATTATCAAATAATGATCTTTACCAAAAAGTGTAAATAGTGACATATACTCAAAAAGTTTTTATTTGTTTATTTATATATTTTTCGTGGTGGTACTGGGGATTAAATCCAGGGCCTTAGAGAATACTAGGCAAACACTCTACTGACTGAGCTATATTCCCAGCCCTAATCAATACTTACCTGTGGCTATAAAGTAGTTCTCTGTGTTCATTAGTTCACCCTAATTGGGGTGAATTTATTTTGGAATAAAAGTATACTAAGCTCTTAAAAAACATAGTTTTACTTCTAAAGTGGTTAAGAATAATAATAAAACAAAGTTCTTATATAAGACACTAAATGTCTTGAGGAATCAAGAAAGACACCTGGTATGGTGGCGTACGTCTGTAATCCCAAGTGGCTTGGGAGGCTGAGGTAGGAGGATCCTAGATTCAAAGCCAGCCTCAGCAACTTATCAAGGCCCTAATCAACTCAGTGGGACCCTGTCTCTAAATAAAATACAAAATAGGCCTGGGGATGTGGTTCAGTGGTCGAATACCCCGAGTTCAATCCCCAGTACCCATTCCCCCCCCCCACACACACACACAGAATTGACATTCTGTTTAGATCTTAGAACATAATCTTGAGCCCCTTAATCTAACTTCATACCTAATGCATGCCACATCTCAATTTCAAACTCCAAGCTCCAGTTTTGTCTTTCCCTCCTGCCTCTGACCTCATTTTGCCACTCTCTCTCTTTTCCTTCTCTTGTTTTTGGGAAGGAACAGTTGGTTTCCATGGGGTTAGTGCTTTTGAGGCAAATATAATGCTTGTAAATGAACGTGGAACCAGCTGTTCTGTGGATAGATACACAGTTGGCTGGACCGCAAGATAAACAGCATTTCCTGGTAAACCTGGAACAATGCAGAGTGCAGATTCCAAAGCTCTATTGTAACAAATGCTGGTGCGGTTACAGGTACACGGGATAGAGACGGGATCTTGTTCAAGGGTGTGGGTATTTTCCTAGACCTTGCACAATGGGCCAGCGTTGGGCCATCAGCAAAGCAGGTCATCATCTCGTCCTGCTTTCTTTCATTCTCTTCCTACTCACCCCATGGCTCTACTACTGGCTTCTGGGTTACTCATTCTTCACAAGTCGACACCATTGAGTAGTGGCTGAGAAGCAGATGCCATTCCCTGGGAGAATTAAGTCTAACTGGGGGACACACTAACAATTCCAGACAGTGGCTATAGGATAGGTGTTCCTAGAACACCTGTTCCTCTATAGTTTGCCTCTGAATTGGCTGGCAATATCTACTGATGATGACAATTATGGTGACTATATTCCAGCCTCCAAATTGGGATCTATGCTGGAGTGAAGAGTTGTGTCATGTTCCTCAATAGGAAAGACAGTCTAAGATATCTTTTGGCTCTCAGAATATTGGCACATCTGGGATGTGCCAATGGTTTAAGAAACTAAAGCATGAGATATTTAAAATTGAATTATTCTAGGGAATTTCTGTGACTAGTGTAAAAAGTGCAACAGGCATTCAGGCAGCAAACCGAGAATTGCCCATAATGCTCACTCTAGGGTAAGTAGTTGTTTGGAGTTCATTTGGTTTTGTTTTTCAATACTAGGGATTGAACACAGGAGTGCTATACCACTGAGCTACATCCATAGCACCCCCCCCTTTTTTTTTTTTTTTTTGAGAAAGGTTCTCACTAAGTTGCCCAGTCTGGCCTCAAACTTGTGATCCTCCTGCC